AATATTGACCAACTTCACCTCGTAAAAAACATGTCAATCCATGATTAAACCCTCCTCTTTGAATAAAAACCCTTGTTAGTCCTGTACAAGATACCAATTCATAGCTCAAGTGCAGTTGACAAGCACTGCCTACTTTAGTGAAAAGATCAAACAAGCCCATAGATGGCTAGAACTTAAATTGGGTCCTAAACTAAAAAAAAAAACAAACTAGATCTCTAAAGGGCAGTAAAAAACTGTCAAACTACCATTACTCAGGGCAACGATTCTTACTTACAAAATATGTTTCTAAGGGCTTGTTCACACTAAAATTTCTAACACCTATACCAACACTATAGGAGCATTTGGTTAGACAGGCATTAATGAGCTTTAGTATAGCTCCTAGATTGTAAGCTCCCAGGATCAGGGCCCTCCTATCCCTCTTGTATTGAACTGTATTTTTGCTGTATTGTCTCCCTTTATATTGTAGAGCGCTGAGCAAACTGTTGGCGCTATATAAATCCTGTATAATAATTTAGTATGGGCGTAAGACTTTTTAATGCTTGTAAAAAGCCAAAACGCACTATGTGCACTTTTGAAGCATTTTGTAAACGTTAAAAACTACACCACAATTGCCTGTAATAAACTGTAATGGTATTAACATGCCACAACTGCACCGCAAATACCCTGTAAACGCCTGCCAGCACTTTTGCAAAGCAGCACCATAGACTTAAAATAAATGGGAGGCGTTGCAAGGCTTCAAACTCCTCCTGACTCGACATGAGGCTTCAATTTTGAAGCGACACAAGACTAATGCTTCATGCTTTGATAATGTGAACATTGCTGTGTGCTGCCCATAGTGTCATTTGGATAGGTATTTGAGGAACTTTAAAAAAGCCCCTCCAACACCTGCTTTCAATGCCAGTGTGAACTAGGTCTTAAAGAAATGAGAAAACTTGTAACCACTGAACACATTACCGTGGAAAATCGGCATTAAAAGTACAAGAATTCTCAAATTAAAAGCTGCTTTCATACACAAATCCATATGAGGTTTAAAAGTTCACACCCTTCAGATATTTATCACCATACATTTTGCAGTATACCTATAGATACTGTTTAACAAATCCCAGAAAAGCAGGCTTGCCAAAACTAGCCTTTTAAAAAGTTACTTTTCATCAATGGCATCTTGTGTTCCTTGTTATACTTCAAGCTCCAGGCTAGAAGATGCTGAATTCCTAGTTCGTTTGTCCACCCCCAATTTATGAACACAGTTTGGACTAAGACTTAACAGTTACACTAGGAAGTCATTCTTTATCTTTGCTTTAACACCTTTGTTTTTGATGAACCCCACTATTTATGGACATGGACACTTCTATCCACCAGGCAACTGCTGGCTTTGCAGTAATAAAAATTACATTAAGGCAGGTTTTTTTTATTTTTTTTATTACCTCCCAGATTGCATTTTATGCTACTAGGCAGGAGAAAGTAGTGAAGTTCCTCTAAGGCCCTGTTTACACCACAATATTGGGATCATGTGAGTTTTTCTGTACAGAAAACTGCATACATATGCACATTTCAGAGCAGAAAAATACAGACATGATGCCAACATTGTGGTGTGAACAGGGCATATAGAAAACAATTGTTTACTTTTGTTCTTGCAGAGACAGGTGCAGAAAAACTCACATCTCTATACATGAGGTGCGAATGAGGCCTAAAAAGGTTCATGGATGTTTACTTGGGTTTGTCATTTTCATGCAGCAAAAGGCAGGAATATGCAAGATGATGCCATAGTGTAGAAAAAAAAATCACTATCCAGTTTCAAAAATATTGGTTTACAGGGTTACTCCTATGTTCAGCCATTAAAAAAAAAGGAAAAAAAAAAAAAAAAAAGGGAGTGATGACGTCAAATTAAAAAAAGGTAATAAGGACATATAAAACCCAAAAAGACAAAACAAAAAGGAAAGCCAACCATTTAAACATGCAACTTTATTTTGATACAGTTAACATACTACCTAAGCATGCAAAAAGAATGGTTTTGTCAATTATATTCTTTATATATATTCTTATGTAATATTACATGTCAATCTGTAATCACGCACACAAAATACAACTGTACATCAGGAGAGAAAAAAAAAAAAAAAAAGCAAACAAAAAAAGGAACGTAGTGTACAAAAGACGGCTTGCAGTTCTGAGTCCGGTGATATTTATGGACAATACGTCCTTATACCCAGAAACTGATTTTAAATTAACAGTATATGCAAGCACTGCATGCAGGTCTGAAACATGAGCCCTAACAAAGCCCACCAGAGATGAATTAGAAGTCCCTCACCTTTTAAATCAGCCGCACACAGATAGAATTAAAAAAATGAACAAATGCATAAAAAAAAAAAAAAAAAAAAAAAAAAAAAGTACAGAAAAAAAGTGTATTAAAAAAAGGACAGTGTATCAAGTTATTCTACAGTTCATGATAAAATATAGGCCGATATGACAGCAAAAAGAAAAAACAAAAAACACAAAATACACTGTAGCCCAATTAACTATACAAACTGTGTGTCCCCAATTGCACACATGCACATTTATCAAGTGTTACAAACTACGATTGGGAAGGGGGGCTCACGGAGCCAGGCTCTGCTTTGAGATTTACATGCAGGACTCTTCAGAGTCAATAAAATTTTTAGAGATCTTCAGGATAGAAGCACTTGCAAATCTATGCACTTTGTTCAACACACAAGAAAGCTATATATGTTTTAAGAACTTAGTGTGTAACAGAAAAAGTACCCAAGAAGCCATTTACTGAATACATTAGAGCTTTGGTGGACCAAGAGGAAACTAAACTGCAATGGCAGCAATAGTTATAACTGTTACGATCAAGGCAAAAGGAACATGTAATTAAAAAACAGAAAAAGCTACAAAATGTGTGTTTCCGAGGATGTAACAGTTCAGCAGTCTCATGCATTACCAGGAAGCAAATACCTAATTTCAGAAGTGCATCAGAGAGGAGAGGAAAAGGAGACAAATATCTCAAAGCATATCTGATCCCTCTAAGCAGTACCAAGTTGTAGGACAAAATGGGTAGATGCCACTTCTTAACGCGTTCTCTATTACGTATCTGCAATATGTACATACAGGCAGTTACTCCAAAACCATGGCTCTGAGACAGGCTGTTAGCAAAATTGTGTAAGTTGCAGACATTTAAAATTCAAAGTTTTACTTTGCTGCTTACCTTTTTACTGAACTAAATATGTTGGCACAAGTTTTAGTATCTAAACCTATAGTGTTATAGCTGCTCAAATTCACAATCCCCAGCTACACAAGCATTTTCAGATGCAGTAATGCAGGATGAACTGTTCCAACCAATATGAGCCTGTAAGCAATGAACTGTGGACAACTGGTTCATTAGCCACAATCTACTGTAGCTCAAGTTTTACTTCAGCAAACAGACTGCACTGCATTACACCTTGCATATGGCTGCTGACAATTTCAAAATTGCCATAGGGTAACCAAAGCATCACTTTGCTGCCAAAGCTTTAAGGTGAAGTACGGTGGTTATATACAAAATAAATATGCACAAAAAAAATGCATATACACTAACAGCACTGGGGAATGTGAAAAGATCAGTGTGATTTGGCAATGTGTAACATTTTCAATTCAGAATATGCAATAAGAGAATATCAAAATCATAGATTACTGATAATTAGAGAAAATACAACGCCTAGGACAACTGTTAATGTTGTATATCAGCACCCGCTATCCCTACCTGTACAGTCAAAATCATTGTGGAGTTACCACTCATTCTGGACTCCATAATGTACTCTTTTCAGATCTGGAACTGGTTTCTTTACAACACAGAAACAAGGGAAAATGGAAAATTATTTTTTTACTTGCTTTTGAAATTAAACTGGTTCTGCTATGCATTTCAACATGTGTTGTGAGCGGGGGAAGAAAAAAAAAAAAAAAAAAAAAAAAAGGGGATTCAAGCTGTGCTGTAAGATGTGGAGAGACTGACAGCATGGTAAAAAAAAAAATGCTTCTCATAGTTGTTCATTTTATTTTGAAAAGTATTTTAACATAATGGACTTCAAAACAAGTAACAAGCTTTGCTTAGCATTTTATTAATTACACCTTGACAGTGTTTCATACAAAAAAAAATACTAAAAATAGGCAGTAGAACAAAGGGGAGGTAAAAAAAAAAAACAAAAAAAAACCGAGGTGAAGGGATAACATGTGCAGCGTTGCCACTACACAGTCTGCACAATGTAAGACAGAATTAACACTGGAAAAATACTTTTAGCACATCATTTTGCATAATACAGAATTGCCCCACAACCTACAACATCATGTCTTAATACCAACCGCAAGAAAAGCCATGTCTATTTGTATTAATACATATGCTTTCATGTTGAGATCTGCATGGGTGTTGATATGATAGACACTGATCTTTAGAATAATCTACTGCCAATGGACATCCAAAATGTGTGTTTATGCTTTACAAAGGATAGTGAAATGTTATAGAGGCACACAGCAAGACTTCACAGTGCAATGTTTTGCTAGATCTTAGCACAAAAGTATAATTCAACCATAGTGCCTTCAACGGGGACGATGGAAGCTAAAATAAGGGACAGACACCTACAGTAGGGAAGTCTGATATACCAAACAGTGCCTTGTAGGTAAGGAATGAGTGCTTAATGAAATGAAATATTTTTTTTTTACTCATAAGCATTCACACAGCTCTTCCATTCTTCTTTTGCCCTCGAATACCTACTGCTTTGAGTTTTTCCAAAAGCAAAGTTTCCAACTTCAAACGGGTCAGTTGCAAAAAGTGGTTTATTCCTTTGTAAGGAAGAATGAAACAAACTTTATTCCCAAAAATGCACTCTCATTTTTCTTACTCCAATAAGCAGGTGTGAGATTGCAGGAATATCTGAGCTTTTCTGTAATCCGAAAGCGGGATTCATTGTTTTTTTTTTCTACAAATTTTACACTTGACAGATCCATTAGCTTGGCAAAAAAGTCCAGAATGTCACTTAGGAGGTCTTCACCAAGTCATAGACATAAATATGGAAATCGTCATCAAACTTAATGAAGTAAACTGAGGGTTTGGCTTCAACTTGATGAATTACCATGCCAGTCCTTTTTGATCCATCTTCTTTGGCGTATTCAACCTGTTTCCCTACCAGGCTGTCCACAACCTCACCAGGCTCCCTCTCAGCTGGAGGAGAATCATCTATGGAATTATTACAAAAGAAAAAATTAGATAACATGAAACATTCCAAACTTAAATGATCTTGCAAACTAGATAAAATACTAGTGCCTTCTTTTAATTTGAAAAGTTCTAAAGGGTAAATACATGAACTACTATTGATGGCCTAAGAATAATAAGGTCGTCTATGGATAAAAAAACAAAAAACAACAAAAAAACCACATGACCAATTTACAGACCCCAAACAAAAATGAAGATCAAAATGTCAAGAAGTTCTGCCTCCACCCTGACAAGTATGCAGATCAGATCAGTGACTCACTATCTGAACGCCATGATGCAATGGGAATTTTCTGAAGTAAATGTCTGCAATATTCGAGCCTGCAGAACATTAGTTTTTCAAACAGTGCCTGCAGATGAAGGTGAATACCTGTACAAAATGCTACATAAAATTAACATGGTGCATTTATTTGATCTAAACTACAGAAAATAAAGACTGGGGTAAATGTAAGGTTGTACTTACTTTTTCACTCAATTTAAACTTAGAATCAGGTGTTCAAGATTAGGTGCCAATTAGGATTTGTTTAAATTAAACCTTCCTAAAAAGTGTGTGCGCTACAATGAAGCTGCTATCTTTGCATCATTTTGATATGCAGTTGCCATGGTGCTGCACGTGATCAGCCATGACACCAACCATTTACAAAAGGTTACAGCCAACCAGGTTGGAAAAAGACACTGATGGCTTGACAGTATGGCTGAGAGTATTCTTAACAATGACAGCATTCACAACAAGAATTGAAAGTAACTGTTTTTGTAAACAGTGACAGCTTTTTTTTTTTTCTTCTAACCACATGCCCTCCAGAGGATTTACCCCCCCCTTCCTGACCAAGCCATTTTTTTTGCGATCCAGTGCTGCATTACTTTAACTGACAACTTTCAGTGGTATTTGATCGCCTCTGCGGTTTTTTTTTTATTTTTTGCACTATAAAAAAAAAAAAAAAAAAAAACAATTTTGGAAATAAAACCGAAAAAAAAATTTTTGTTTTACTTTTTGCTATTAAACATGCACAGTAATTTTTTTTTTCTTTCAATTTCGTCATAAATTGAGGCCAAAATGTAATCTGCTACAGGTCTTTGCTAAAAAAAAAAAAAAAAAAAAAAAAGAACACCCAATACGTGTAAATTAATTGGTTTTTGTGAATGTTAAGAGTTTACAAAATAAGCAGGATATATACTGAATTTTTTTTTTCTTTTACTAGTAATGGCGGGGATCAGCAACTTATAGCGGGACTGTGGCAGGCATTCTGACACTGGGGGTCACTAACATCCTCTGTGACACCAATTCATTGATCAGTGCTAATAAAAAGCACTGACTGTACTAATGGCACTGGGCAGGAAGAGGTTAACATCTGGGGTGATCGAAGGGTTAACTGTGTGCTTTACACTGTAAGCACACTGCTTTGTATGGGTCTGAAAGTTGTGCCAGAAATGGTTCTAACATCAGAATAATCAAAGCACACTAGCCAATCCATCAAGGAATGACTAAGGTAGAGAGGAAAAAAAAAGTGATTAAAACTTTCAGAGTTCATAGCAGAGATTTTTTTGGGGGGGGGGGGGGGGGGGGGGGGGGGGGATAGTTATACAGAATTGTAGAAATATCTAATAGCAGGATCAATAGAAACGTTAAACAGAGGGGCCTAATTAAAATAAATACACAGGAAGATCTGGCTCTAGCAAACATTTGTGAGCCAGCGCAGTATAACACCCTACTCCCAGTAAAATTATAAACAGTAGTGGGACCTGTGTCCCTCAATGAACTTTAAGAAAATTGCTGGTGTTAGAGGCCTGAATATCCACCTGGTATAGCAATGGTCCAGCAGACTGGTATAGAAGCATCCACAGCTTGCATGGCAGGGCTTTGAAAATGGGCCTGTAATCTCGTTTAACCACTTGCCTACACAGCACTTATACCCCCTTCCCGCCCAGGCCAATTTTCTGCTTTCAGCACTGTCAAACTTTGAATGGCAATTGCACGGTCATGCAACACTGTACCCATATGACATTTTTAGAATTTGTTTTGAGACAGAGCTTTCTTTTGCTAGTATTTAATCACCTCTGGGTTTTTTATTAAACCAAATAACTAAAAATTTTGAAAAAAACAAAGTTTTTGTTATAAAATTTTGAAAATAAGTGATTTTTCTCCTTCACTGATGTGCGCTAATGAGGCTGCAGTGATGTGCACTGATGAGGAGGCACTGATGGCCATTGACAGGCACCACTGATGGGCACTGATGGGCAAGCATTGACGGACACTGACAGGTGACACTGCTGGGGCTACACTGATAATCAGTGTACATGTCCCCTCTGAGGAATGCAGATTACTGGAATGCTGTCAGCGTGATAGCTTGTGAGAACAGAAATGCCAATAACCGGCATTTCCTTATTTACATGCGATCAGCTGTGACTGGACACAGCTGATCACATAACCGAGCCGAAGTCTTCGGCTCTTTCCGTTGATTGGTATTTCGCTGTGTCTGAGGGACACCGCACACCACAGATTGCTGCACTGCACGCCTCCGGAGCCACGCGCACGCATTTAGAATGGGAGGACGTCATACGATGTCCTCCCAGAATGAGAGAACCGCCTTGCGCCCGTCATTTCCTTATATGGCGGGCAGGAGGCGGTTAAAAGGTCTCTAAACTTGGAATCGTCCTCCACAAGGGCCATATTAAATCAAGAAATCGCAGAATCTACCCACAAGAATGGGCCACTTTCATAGGAAACGTCTTGAAATTTTGTCCCAAAATGAGTACTCACAATCTCTACTGCTGTGAAAAGGGAGGAAAAGCGGTTTATGCCAAGCACTTGTAAGCTGCTGTGAACCCAGGAAGAGTGAAGAAACGTCTGTACTGTGCCGAAGGAGGGGGATTCAGAAGCTGCTGCCAATTTGAAAGTTTGCTCAGAAAGAGCCAGGGTTCGCAACTGCAGTAACCCAAATGAGAGTACAGTTTTGCATACTAGATGCCACAAAAGAAAGGTCTGCAGGCACTTTAGTACCAGGCACAGTCTCACAGCCACAACCACCAAACTGGCCTACAGCAGTCTCAAATCTATGGCAGCAACATTACCCTTCAAGCCAACAGGGTTTGGGTATGATCTCCCAAGGCTTTGTCAAGGATGTATCAATTGTTTTGCTGCAGCAGTAATCTTGAAAGAATTAGTTAGAATCATCATTTAAGACAGACAGAGGAAAAAAACTAGCTAAGGAAAAAGTAAGCTTCTCCCAGTACAGAAGAGGTCCATCAGCTAAGGACACTAGCAAAAAATGAGGCTAGCTGGGAGTGGGGAGGGGTTTAATAGGGGGATGCCCAGCAACCTTTTTTTGCCAGTGTCTAATCACACGAAGACAGCTGCATATAACCCATGGTGATGCATACAGATGCTATGTTCCATAATGTACAAGAAAATGTTCTTGATGGCTGCTCTCTGCAATACAGGAATACAGGATTCTCCTGAATTTTTCAATGCAGATCTGAAGGATGTCTCATGCAATTGGGAAATCTGTCTTGATTCATGAACTATATGATTTTATGCAGCTTGCTCAAACAGAAAGCATATATTCAGAAGAACAGAAGACTTTCCCCACCAACTCACTCACCACTATAAAAGGCTTATCTAGTGAAAGACCCCCAAAACGTGAAAGAGTCCAAAAACAGTTTCTTGTAAAAAGATAAAATGCAAAAGGCAATAGTCATGGCTGGCCTTCCAGAATATCATTACTTACTAGAGTCCGGCATGATACGAAGATCTCCTTCTTTATAATCATCTAAAAGCTGATACATGTACAAGACAGGGTCCTTTTCATAGGTTATATAAAACCATGTATTCATGATTGGTGCTCTTGCTAATACCATCCCTCGCCATTCATCTTTAGAGCCATCTTCTGTTTCAAACATGTGTTCCACAGCTTTACCAATCATTGTGTCGGCCAAATGGGCATCACTAATTCGGGATGAAGCTAAAAGAGAAACATGAATATGATTTAACATTTTACAATCAAATGTGTCCTCAAATAACATTGTCCACAGCAATATTGTTACTCTGTTATATTGGTTACAAATGAGTGTTTCAGTTACTAGAGTTATCAACTTTGACATGCAGAAATATCTGCCATGTCTGTCCCTCAAATCTGCTTAACCACTTCGACCTGAGAAAGTACAAAGTACATTCTAAGGTCGTCGTGAAGTGGTCATTACCAGGATCATAGCTGCAAAAATTTGCAGTTGGCAATGGGCTTTCCTATAGAAGTGATCCAAGCGGCTCTATAGCTGCCCAATCACTTCTACAGGGTGCAGAGGGGCATGCTCCCCCCCGCCTCACATACACACCCCCTGACCCAGGCTCTCCAGTGCGATCTGGGAGCCCAGGACAGTTGTGACCTGCCTGGCTGCCCAGAGGAAAGGCAGGTACAACCATAACTGTGCTACCTCTGTGATGTTTGTTGGTTGAATTGGATGGACTTTTTCAAAATAACTACAGTGGATATAAAAAGGTCTACATATCCCTGTTAAAATGTCAGGTTTCTGTGATGTAAAAAAATGAGCCAAAGATATATATCATTTCAGATCTTTCAATCTTTAATCTGTACAACTCAGTTGAACAACAAACTAAAATAATATGGTTGCATAACTGTGCACACCCTTAAACCAATACTTTGTTGAAGCACCTTTTGATTTCATTCCAGCACTCAGACTCATACCCAAAAAGACTATCAGCATGACACATCTTGACTTGGCAACATATGCCCACTCTTCCTTGCAAAACCCTCCAAATCTGTCAGATTGCGAGGGCATCTCCTGTGCACAGCCCTCTTCAGATCACCCCACAGAGTTTCCATTCAGATTCAGGTCTGGGCTCTGGCTGAGCCATTCCAAAACTTTAACCTTCTGGTGAAGCCATTCCTTTGTTGATTTGGATGTATGCTTTGGGTCGTTGTCATGCCGAAAGTTGAAGTTCCTCTTCATGTTCAGCTTTCTAGCAGAAGCCTGAAGGTTTTGTGCCAATATTGACTGGTATTTGGAACGGTTCATAATACGCATTGCAAGGGGATTAGGGATTCTACGATGTTTAGCAAATGCAAGATGAGAATGTTTATTTTTCGAGCAGTGTCTGTGCAATAGGAATAGGAAGATGGCCTGGCTAAATGTCGTTTATCGTGCCCAGTATGTGTTTTATGGAGACTTTTTAATGTTTGTCCAGTAAGAAGTGATTTGAGGTCTTTCTGATCAAATGTGTCTCAGAAAATCTTGACTGTGCTGACACCTATGGCATCTGTCTGATGCTTTCCAACAACTTCTCATTTTTTAGTTGCTGCAAGGCAGAGTATAAGTAGCTTGTATTAAGTTTCCTTTATCTGTGCGTATTTAGCAACTATGGTAATGACAAGCTATTTAGCATTGCTTGTCTTAATTTTGACAGTGGGGGAATTTTCAGCTTAACCAGTTTGGGGGCTGGGGAGAGTTTATCAGTAGGTCTGGGGAAAGACTCAGTTGCCCATGGAGGGTGTTAGTGGACCAGGGCACGAGGAAAGCAGCTAATCTGAGCTTGAAGTGTATGTAAAACAATCTCACCTCGTAAAACAATCCATTCAGTTTAACCACTTGCCTAAAGGGCACTTATACCCCCTTCCTGCCCAGACCAATTTTCAGCTTTCAGCACTGTTGCACTTTGAATGACAATTGTGCAGTCATGCAACACTGTACCCATATGAAATTTGTATATTTTCTTGCACACAAATAGAGCTCTCTTTTGGAGGTATTTAATCGCCACTGGGTGTTTTATTTTTTGCGCTATAAACAAAAAAAAAAAAAAAGAGCAAAAAAAATTTGAAGAAAAAAAGTTTTTGTATCTATTTTAACATTTTGCAAACAGGTATTTTTTCTCCTTCACTCATGTGCGTTGATGAGGCTGCACTGATGGTGGCACAGACAAGCAGCAGTGATGGGAAGCAGTGATGAGCTGGCACTGATGGGCAGCACTGCTGAATCGCACTGCAGGGCACAGGTGGGTGGCACTGCTGGGAACTGATCATCAGTGCCGATCCCTTCGCTGAAAATTGCCGATTCTTGGCAGTACATTCATCACGCAGCCGATAACCGGCAACTGCATTTACCCGGTGATCGCTCTGTCATTGGACACTGTGTTCAGTGGCGAGGCCGGGTGCGTGCCACTAGGGGCATGTCCTGGAATGACATCCATGGACGTCGTCCCAGGATTACATGACCACACTGTAGCTGTCCTTTGGCTATAGTGCGGTTGGGAACTGGTTAAAATAGAAATGAAGCGCAAAACATTTATGTATACAGAATTTATACAGCTTATCTGAGCTCCCAAAAACCAGGGGGTGAGGAGCTGAAGTTACACTCAGCTCTCAGAGCTCTCTCCTCGCTGAGGTGTGCAAATTGGAGGGAAAGGTGACACTCTTCATACAGCACACACAGGAACAACACGGAGGCTGTCATTCACAAGCTGTGTGCCAGAGATCCCCCTCCCGTCACGTTTTTCCTTTTGGTGCCAGGGAAACTTGTTAGAAGTGACTCAGGCAGATAGAGGAGCTAGGCAGCAGAGAGAAATGACCTTGCTACAGACTGAGACAATTAAACACTGTAAAGGGATATGCTTTGTTCGTATTTAATTTCATGTCTGAGCCAAATAGAAGTGCTCACCATCCAATTTCCTTGATTTTCTACAAGGGCAAGGATGTTCCTACAGAAGCAGTCATTGAATGATACACAGGTTTGTCAGGCCAATCAGATCCCACTTAAATGGGAATGCTGCATGAATCTGTTGCACTTCAGAAGTGGGTAGGGACCATTTTGGGGGTGGCAACGTGGAAAAAAAATGATTTTCAGACTGTAAACTTGTCCAAAGTAGTCAAAACTTCATCAAGCTGGGTAATAAAAGGTTGAGAAATAAGGGGGGGGGGGGGGGGGGGTCTGGGTGGAAGGGGGGTCATCAGTGTATGGAAATTTTCTCCCATCGTTATGCTTTTTAAGTCCCTGGCCTAATTTACTGTTCTAATAAATGGTTCTGAAATTAACATGAAAATTAGTGGCAACAATAAACATCCTTGCCGTGTTCTTCTGACAAAAGAAAGCCAGGCCATCATCCTAGGCAAAAAAGCTTTGAATGTATGAGTGTTGCTCTGATGTCCCATGCTAGTCTGTCAAAGGCCTTCTTAGTGTCAGTTGAGAGCAGGCCCTCAACTTACCACAATCTGGCCCAGTGTACATTGTTAATGGACTAGATCGTGTTGCCTCTTGACTCTTTTGGCCATGAAGCCTACTTTATCTAACCCAAGCATTTTTATTGGGAGAGGACGACATCCAGAGGGTTGGGAACAGGACACGGTCACTAACTGCTTTGTGGTATTCAGCAGGTTCAGGGGGAAACAGCAATTGAAAAACAGCAGTATTTTTTTTTTTTTTTTCTTGCCCAAAATAATCAATCTTTTATAAGCAAGCCTCCAGAATCACAATTTAACTATACGATCATATACTAGAATCTCAATTGAGAATTTATTTATTTATTTTTTTTAGTTTTAGGCTTGTTGCACACAAACAGTATAGGAGGTGTGAAAAGGACGGAGTATTTATTTGGCTTTTCTAAACAAGGTTTGGGTGTATTTATGTATAAGTGCAGCACTGAAGATCTGTTCTAGCCCTCTGGTGTCTCAATGAGGCCTGAATGTTACCATGACAACACAGCAAGGATACATCTCAACATTGTCAGAAATGTTTCTAACGCTCAGGGATAGCTGAGCCTGTATGCCAGACTAACTGCAAAAACCTAACCTTTTCTGCTGCATATAAAAGGAGGGATCTTTAGAGGAGCCCTGGGAAATTTTGAAGAGAGGCTATGTGGCATCAGGCAAGCTGCAGATGTACTATGGATAAAGCTAACAGTACATGGAGGGAAATTTGAGCTGTGGGTAGACTTGTTTGATTTTCAGGTCAAAGGATGTTGAGCAGGTAAGTACAAAGGAGCCAGGCAACAAATTGCCTGCTGAAAAGCAGCGGCATCCCATCCAATGCAGTCACTGTTCGGGTATGCTGCCAGCCATAGGTAACCATAGGCTCCTCACAAGACCTCCTCTCTAGTTCCCTCGTCTCCTCCTATGCCCGCCTCCAGGACGTCACCCATCCTCTGTAACTCCGTACCCCAATCCATCAGACTATCACCTACTCTCTCCTTTAGGCGCACCCTGAAAACCCACCTCTTCAGGGAAGCCTACTCCACCCCCAGCTAATTGCCACCCTCCTCCATTCTTCCTACCACTCCATCCCCGACAGCCATTTCCTCCTGTACCACTATCCCCTCCCTCCTAGATTGTAAGCTCCAAGGAGCAGGGTCCTCGAACCCCTCGTGTATCGCATTGTATTGTTATTGTACTGTCTCATGTATTGTCCCCCTTTGTAATGTACAGCACTGAGCGAACTATTGGCGTTTTATAAATACTGTATAATAATAATAAATAATAATAGGTGTCGGCTGCCAGAATACAACAGCAAGGGAGATTTCTCCATCTATACTGTTTAGTGTGGATGCAGGAATGAATATTTCTCTTGTTCAGAGAAAATTTACATTGGATGGCCAACTTTAGCATGCTTTATTACTAAAGGATCCAAATGGAGATGGGATTTACAAATTAATAAGCCACGACCGTGAAAACTGCAAGTTCTGACAGCCTTAGCGACTGTTGGTTTGTAGTTTTCAGTGAATTAACACTGTGCTGTGGAGCTCTGTGGTGGTTCATTGAAGCTACCTGTCAAAATATCTGCTTGCTCGTACATCCTGTACAGCAACCAGATATTCTGACAGGTCTGCAGGAGACCTGCATGGCATCAGCGATCTACTGATCGCTGGTGCAATGCTTTCCAGGCTCCTGTCAACAAAAATAAATGTATTTTTTTACCTGCAACAAAATGTGCATTTAATTATTTTTCTAAAAGGTGAACT